TAGTTTAAATCTAAGTACTATTCTTTTAGAGATACTTATAGAGTACGAGATTTAAGACCGAGTTTTCGGACTTATAACTAATAATATATCGAATAATAAGACTCTAGTTAAGTCTCTTTAATAAGCTTTATCTAATAATATAAAACTTATTCGAACCCTCTATCTTACTTATATTATCTAATTAAGTCTAAATTAGCTACTAGATTATCTAAATATAGTCCCTCTAAATAATACTATAGAAACTATCTAGACTAACTAATAGTTATTAGTAGCTAAGGCTAATACGCGATATTAAAACTAGAGTATTTTATCTACTCTTAAGAAGGTCCGATTTCTTACTATCTATATTAATATAGGCCCTTAGCGTCGAGAGATATTCTATAATCTCTAACCTAATAAACTAAAGCTTTTTCTAATTTAAGATATTAGGATACGCTAGAATTTAATCTTTCTTATACTTCGTCGAGCTAAGCGACTTCGCCGAATATTTAGTCTATTTTACGTAGATTATAACTACGAAGAGATATTACTAAGCGATAAAGAATAGCGTTAAATTAACTACCTTCTTTATCTAACTAAGCTATTTTTCCTTTATACTACTAAGCTTTTAAAGACTCGGGATATAATAGTATATCTAGTCTTTAAGATATATAATATACTTTTTAGCTATCTAGAGAAATTAATTAGCTAGCTTAAGTGAAAGAGGATTCTATAGAAAGTCTAGATATTAAAGACGCTAGAAGCTAGTCGGTAAAAGCTTAATAAATACTACTCTAAGATAGATAGTACCTATAGCTATCTCTACGCGATAAGTATAATACTTACCTTAGATAATAAATTCTAGTTCTTTCTAACTAATAACTAGGATAAAAAATAGCGAGATACTTATTAGGATACGTTCTAGGAAGCTCTAGCTCCTTATTAGTAACGTCTAATAAATACCTAAGGCTTAATAAGTCGTTATATAACTATATAACTTAGCTTAGAGCTAAGTAAGTTATTAAAAGGATATAAATAGTAGGCGAAGCTAGTAAAGCTAGCAGTTAATAAAGTAACTTAATATCTAGATAGTAGTATATTAATTATCCTCTTATAGTTACTTAATACTAACTTATACTAGATACTATTAAAATCGAGCCTCTTCCCTTTTAGAGGGATAACTAAGCTCGTTTTCCTATAGTCGTATTACTTATATAAGATATCCTTATAGTTCTAGCTATAGGCGTAGATATCGAGAGACTCTTTAATACTACCTAGGATCTTTATTATTATTGTTATAGTTAGATAAAGTCTAAGATAATTAAGGAACTAATAATATTCCTCTATATATTAAGGTTTAATCTTAAATAGTAAGAACTAGAGAAGTTAAGAGAGTACTTTATATATAAGAAGATTAAAATATATAGGGAAGAGAAAGATAAGATCTTAGAGGATATTAAGGGTAATAAGATTAGTAATACTAAGGAATAGGAAGAAGAGGATAAGGAAAGGGATAATTCTAAGCTATAGCTACTAGAACTTAATACCTAATAGCGCTTATCGGGAAGAAAGCGGAAGATAAGGGAAGATAATAATTTTTAGTATTATTAATTAGTCTATTCTATTCTATTCCTTATCCTACTACCCTACTTTTCTAATAGTAGTTAAAAATTATATATATATTCAGGTCTACTCTAATTATAATCCTACTATCCTAGATTTCTAACTACGGTTAGAAATCTAGGCTATAAAATAGGCCTAAATATAGAAGTAATTTCTTAACCGTAGTTAGAAATATAGGTAGTGCTATATAGCGGTATCCTAGATACTAAAAAAAACAGATAAAATTTATATAAATTATATAGTAGGAAGGAAGGCTTATATTTATAGTGTTTACTTAATATTAGGGGCCTACGCGGGCTCCTGACGTAGGCCCTAGGCCTATAAATTAGGCCTAAAGCCCGACGTAGGCTCTAACTTTAGGCCTAAAACCCGGCCTACGCGTGGGTTAGGCCGTGGTCGGGTTTGGGCTTTCGTGGGCCCTGAAGATGTCTAATAGTGAGTGGCCCGCCCTATCCGAAACGCGCTTCCCACGCGTCACCTACTATCTTCCACCACACACTATGCCACCAAAACGTTCTGAAAAACGTTCAAAATCATCAGGTAGGGAGGGTAGGATCCTACTAGCAAGTGCTGCTAGTCAAAAAGATTCATCTCTATCTATTAGCTAAGCAGCAGCTATTTATAACGTGCCACGCTCTACACTTCGCTATCGAATCAACGGAATGCTAAATCGCGAGGATACACGATCACCACGTCTTAAAATGACATAAGAAGAAGAGGATTCGCTTTGCTAGTGGATACTATCGCTTAATACGCGTGGTACTTCCCCTAGGCCTTCGCATATTAAAGATATAGCAAATCTTCTACTAGCAACGCGTAGTGATAAACAGCCTTCTTCTATTAGAACTAATTAGGTAACACGCTATATTCAACGTTGACTAGAGCTTTACACGCGATTCTCTAGACGCTACGACTATCAACGTGTATAAAACGAAGATCCTACTAGCTTACGCGCGTAGTTTAGGCTAGTAGAGCGTACGATTTATAAAAACGGGATCCTTCCTAACGATATCTATAACTTTGATAAAACAGGCTTTGCAATAGGCTTAATATCTACTACTAGAATCGTTACACGGAAGGATCTATACGGTCGGAAGCCTCTACTATAACCTAGAAATCGGGAGTAGGTAATAGTAATTGAATCTATATCGGTAACCGGCTACTCGCTTCCGCCGTATATAGTATTTAAAGGGAAGGTTTATATTACTAGCTAGTTTAATAATCTTCCTAGCGACTAGCGATTCGAAATATTACCGAATAGTTAGACTACCGATAATATAGGCCTACGCTAGCTAGAAAAGCTCTTTATTCTAGCAACTACTAGTCGTACGTAAGGTAAATATCGCTTATTAATATTAGACGGTTATAGAAGCTATCTAAGACTATAATTCGACTAAATCTACTAGCAAAATAACGTTATACTACTCTATATACCGCCGTATTCGTTATATCTTCTATAGCTGCTAGATATAGGATATTTTGCTATCCTAAAGCGCTTATACGGTTGCTTAATCAAGGCCTAAGCTCGCCTAGGATATAACTATATCGACAAGCTCGACTTCCTAGAATCCTATACACTAGCACGCTAGGAAGCCTTCCTACCTAGCATTATACAATCAAGCTTCGCTAGCGCCGGCCTAGTTCCGCTAGATACCGACCGAGTCTTATCAAAGCTTAATATATCGCTTCGAACACCTACACCTACTACTACTACTACTACTACTACTACTAGTAGGCCTAGTAGTAGGAGTAGCGCTTTCGTGCCTACTACTCCTTATACGATTAAGCAGCTTAGCAAGTAAGCTTCCTCTATTAAAGCTCTACTACGCAAGCGCTTACGGTCGCTAGGAAGTCCTACTAAGTAAGCGCTAGATCAATTAATCAAAGGTGCTAAACTAGCGTTTTATAACACTATTTTGCAAGCGGAAGAGATTCAGCAACTCCATAGATTCAACGAGAAGAAGCGTCAAAAACGCATACGTTCTACTCGCTAGATATCTAGGCAGCAAGGTTCTACGGTCGGCGAATCTATATCTCTTGATTCAACGTTGCTAGCAAGCGTTGAAGCTATTCAAAACGATGATGCGGTGCTTGCTCAGCAGCCTACTGAGGGCGCTAAGCCTACTACTAAGCGTGTATTTCAATATTCTGGATATGGGAATATAGGGCATAAGATTACTCGGTGCCCTAGTAAATAGTTGAATTAAATATATGGCGTTTTGGTGGAAAAATAGTGTTTTCAAAAAGTAGTGGTTGGTAGGGTGGGCCACTCACTAGTAGTGGGCCACTGACTAGTGAAATACGTTAGTTACTTATGGATATTACCTAGGTAATACTGCACCACCCATTACCTTTCGTAGTTGGTTCTACACAAGAGTTCTTATTAATAAGTTTAGTTGGATATTCTCAAGCTTTCCCACAGTCCTCGAGGGTTACCTTCAACGGACCCGGGCACAGCGCCGCTATAGAAGCTTTCGAACTTGCTTCTTAACTTTGGGAATTTTCCCTATAGAACCTGCTCCCCTATGAGCTATTCAGTTGCTATATTGTTTCATAGATTAAATGAATTAAGCAGGTTGGAGTAGAGGGCTGTGTAGGAGAGGAAAAAAGAAATGCCAAGGGCCGGAATTTGACCCAGATTGCTGCTCCGGCCTTTGAATTTTTCGGTTCTCGTCCCGAACAGTTATATGAGCATTTTTATACTATGGCTATATTGTATTAGGGCACTAGGGTAAAATTCGCATAACTAGCTGCATACAGCGTTCACAGGTCCGAGGGTTATAACGTCCACAGCCTGAAAGCATCAGTATGTGGGATACACCTAACTCAGGTATTCAAGCGGGCTTTTAGCGGAATTATACATCTTTTGCCGTGATTTTCTCTCGATTTTATCAATTCCTGATTGTTATTAAAAATCGATAGCTTCGAGCTTGATTTTTGAGATTCATTAATGCAAAGTGCGTACCTTTTCTGTAGTCCGATGCCGGGTTATATCCCGAGATGCTGTCCGGGCGCAGCTCCGAATGAACCCTGCCAAGCACCTGTAACCTCGGGCTGCATGGAAATATGGGGTCCTGGTGAATTGAAAAATAGTGGAACTAGCTATTACAGAGCGGAATTCATTGCGGGAAGAGCCCACTACATGGGGTCATTTCATCTCGAGCTCCAGTAATATCCAAATAATCGTCGATTCGAGGGTGTTGAGCCCTTCGAGATATCCAGCACCCCACCGATAGCCCGTTCCCCCGTAAAAAAGTGCCCCATGGGGTTCAATCTGCCCCCCCCTCCACCGGACTAGAATCACTGAAATTATTTAAAACCTGATTGAGTACCCAGTCGGTTTGTCTCCTAGAAATCCTGATTTGTCACTCTGAAAGAAAACTTCATTCTTCGCTAGTGAGAGCCGACGTGCCTGGGACTTGGTTCAACCGGAGCAGCCTCTCTTATCACATCCCAGCCAATTTTGTGAAACGATCCATATCGATATTGGAGTGATACTATCGTACAACATGAAAATCGATAGCTCTGAGACCTCAGTACACCTCGAAAATCTAGCTTCCAGCTCTCCGGCGCAAGAATCACAACAAAATGACGGAGTGTTGACAGAATCCCCTCAAGACCCGCGAAACTGGTCACCATGGAAGAAAAATGTGCAAATTTTGATGGTTGCCTTCCATTCAATGATGGGCACCTTCATGGCAGCAGGAATTATCCCAGCCTACGATGAATTTGCCAAGCAATACGGGGTGACAGTACCCGATGCCAGTTATCTCACCTCATTTCAGGTATGCTATTAACAGATACTAAACGCGAATCCTGCAATCAATATCATGGTGGAAATTAACAAGAATATGTGCGAGATAGATTTTGTTACTGGGACTATCCCCATTCATTTGGAATCCCATAACTGCTGTCTATGGTCGATACAACATTAGCCTACTGTCAGTTTTGGGTAGCATGGTATGCAATATTGGAGGCGCACGTTGTACTACCTATGGAGGTCAAATGGCCACTCGAGTCCTAACAGCATTTTTAATCTCTCCTCCAATTGGAAACGGCAGCGGTGTAGTGACGGAGTTATGTGAGCCTGAAAAGCGAGCACAAAAGCTGGGTTGGTGGACTCTCATGACTACAATTGGCACTCCTGCAGGTCCGTTTTTGATGGGATTTGTGACCAAGCACATCGGTGTCCAATGGATATTTTGGATTTTTGCTATTTTGAATTTTTTGCAATTTATTTTTTACCTGGCTCTAGGCGACGAAACAATCTACAACCCCACCAATGAGCGCCATGATAATGGGCTTTTGAGCAGAATGCGGCCTCGCCAGATTTCATCTCACTCATTATGCCTTGGAGACTTCGTGGCGCCATTCTCTTTGGCAAAATATCCTCGTGTCTTGATCGCAGCTTTTGCTCACGCTATCACGTTCTGTTACGGGAATATTGCCTTGATTGTTGAGATGCCGATTGCTTTTGGAGAAAAATTTCATTTTGACGCCCAACAAATCGGGCTTCAGTTTATTGCAATCATCATTGGATGCGTCTTGGGTGAGCAGGTCAGTGGACCGGCGTCTGACTGGCTTTTGAAGCGCATGCACCAGAGAAGAGGCTATTCACGTCCTGCGGATCGTCTCTGGCTGTCTTATATTGCATTTGGCACAATAATTGCGGGATTGATGACTTGGGGGTTTCAACTGCAGCATGCCACCGTCTGGAATGTTACTCCGTGTATTGGTGCTGCAATTGCTAGCTTTGGGAATCAGATGCAAACTACAATTTTGACAACTTTTGCTGTCGAAAGCAAAAAGGAGCGAGCAGCTGAGGTGGGTGTGTTCGTTAACATCTGCCGTCAAATATATGGATTTGTAAGTTTTATATTGTGACTCGAGATCTTGATTTCTCTCCAAGTCAGCTAAACTGGAAATCATCTAGCTTGGACCCTTCTATTTTCCCGATATGTTTGCGGCATTAGGCCTAGGTGGAGCTGCTGGCGTGATGGTAGCTATCGTTGGGGCATGCGCCGTGTTTCCTATTATCGCGATTCAGTTCACCTCTTCTCGACTTGACAAACATTAGACTTCTATGGCAGATTGTTCCGTTATTTTACTTTTGAGCTCATGATAAATAGAAACCTTTAGGCAATTCAAGTTAAAGAGCGCTTTCTCTAGAATTAGCAGAGGATAAGGAAAGCCTGTTAACAAACGCTGTTCACTAAAATAGATTGCTCGGAACACTATTTAGCCAAGACATATCTTGAAAATCGGGGAACTCAAAGCCTTCCATCATTGTTGCATTGATCCCCTCGCCGAAAGACATATCGTTCAATATGGCGGTTCCATTTAATGACACATCGTGGCTGGGTGCTTGATTCGGGGCGGGGTGCGCTTCCGATACGACCTGCTCATAAAGTATCTCAAGAGCTGCTATACACCGCCTAGCGGAGCTGCTATAATTTTGGTAATTGCGGAGAATTTCTAATGCGCAGTGCCATGAGTGTGTGATGGAATCTCCAGTGATCTCCGCCAATATTGTCGGACATAGTCGCCCGGCAATCAGAACAGTCGCAGCAGTATATATATCTAAAAAATAGTACATAGTAATATTAGACCAATGATTCAAACAAATTGAGAAAATCTTACAAAGTATATTGTACCACCACGCTGGGAGTGGGCCTCCAGTGCCATCAGCCGGGACGTTATTATGGATCAGATTTATCGACTCCTGCGCCACTCTAACACATATTATGGAGCATTGTAATGCGACGCGGTTGGGGAAAGATTCAGTCATGGAGATCATTGAATGCGCTAGCAAATTATCGCGTGCAACACAATACTTAGAAAGAGTTGGACGAAAGAGCAGCATGCGGACGTGGAGAAACCTATCATTGACAAAGGGTGAAACATCAGCATCCACTCCAAAATATAACAGTGAGCTTTGAGTATACCTTGCCTGCAAGACAATCTGTTGGCGATATAAGATAGGATTATCCGTCACAATTTTAGAATCTCCGGAAAGGTGGGCGGGAAGGCTGCAAGTCCAGCGAGTAAGGGAGCGATCGAGTTCAAATATAGTTCGTTCTCCTTCGCTGATAGTATTACTGAAATAAAAATCATGTATATCATCAGGAAATTCATCTGGTGGGGACTTGTATACACTTAGCAGGACGTCGTTCATGATTTCATATAATTCCAAAGTCTTCGCATAGAATGCCATCATCGAAGGTTGACCTGCAGGTTGGCATGACTCTGATGTTGTTTCAGCTGAGATGAACTCATCGTCCACGATGATTGGCAGTGGAACAGTATTGTTGGATGATTTAGATATCATTGCAGGCCGCCCAAAGGTCATGGCTATGACCCTAAATACGGATCAATTTAGCACCAGAGGCTTAGACTGAAACAGAATCAAGCATACCGATCCATCAAGACACAACCATGCCAAATCTTCCGAGCTAGCTGTTGCTCCCCAAAGTTGTGGAATTGGGCGATAGTTTGGGGCAGGTGAAGGCCCAAGCTCTGTGCATTGCGAATTGCCAGGCCAGTCACAATCCAACATTGGTGTGCGGAGTCAGTGCTTTGCAGATACTGCGCCATTAATAAGAGGCATTGAATCAGTCCAGCAGACCCCGTATCCCAAAGATTGAACTGGAACAGTCCCTTCGCTCGGGAGAAATACGCATCTGCTGAGGCCGCTCGTTCCTCCGGCGCGATGAAATCTGCCAATTGACTGGCTAATGCAAATATGACATTGAAGGTGCACATTACCATGTTTTCATCATAATGTAGCGGGTCCCCCTGCCAGACTTTCATGTATTCAGTCTTCATATAAGAACTGTCTACAAGGGGATAAAGAGGGAAGACATAGTCCCAGTAAACATTCATCAAACTATCTGCAGTCCTTCGGGGAGGTAGCACATAACTTGGAGATGTAGCTGTACGGCCACTGTGTTCCGATAGAAGGCTAGACGGCAAGGCACTTGCTGGAGAAGAGAGCCTTCGCTCTGGTGAATAAACCTTTTTGTCCACGGCCGTTTTAATCTGGCGCATGAAACCGGCGGCGCTTGAGCTTCCAAAAAATCCTTGGCTAGCCCGTCCTTCTTCGACGGCACCCATCATTGCATTAACACCGTCTCTTGTAACATGATTTCTGGATTTGGTGTCATTTGTTGTGGTCGCTGCTGTTCGAGACAATGGTATTGAATTCTGACTCTGAATAAATTGACTGTGGTCGGTGGATGCCCCGGAGTAAACAACGGCTGGAGAGGGGGATGCTAAGACGGTGCGCTAGAAATGAATTAACATGAAAACAACCTCCATGTATAGAAATTTCGTTAACGAACTGGTGTCTGGCTTGAAAGAGAGGATGCTGGAGGGGCTGTCGGACTTTCTAGTTGCTTAACCCGATTTTCAAGGGTCGTGATATAACTACACATGTAGCCAAGCGATGCTCTGATTAGATCGACGATTGCGCCCACACCTTGACAAAACATACCTCTGCGTTGCACGCTTCTTCTCTATTTCGCCCGTGTACACACATTCGCTGCCATGATCGGGTCGCCTCCTGCAAGGCCCACATACTGTTCCAAATAAGCGCGGGTGACATCCCGAAAGCCCTTTGACGCTTACCAGGTTGCACCCCATCACAACGGACCTTTCTCGCGCGGCAATCATCGCATGCGACCGCAATTTTGCGGCGCTTTCCTCTTTCTCGAGATTGACCAGACTGGGTTCTCATTCCGACAGGTACTTTAGATAGTGAAAGGGCCGGTCTGCAATTGGAAGTGTGGAAAAGCGAGGCAGTCTTGTCCGGATGTGTCCGGGATTGTATCCGAATGCTTGGCACTGTGGCGACTTGGCGGACAATTGGTGGGGATGGGGGCCTTTGCCCGATGGGGCAAGGTCGCGAGTCAGAGTTGCTACGCGGAATTGGTCCGTGAAACAGACAAAATAGATTAAGGAATCAATCTTTACTCCATATTGTATACCTCGCTCAATAACACAAAATTTACCTGCTGTGGCCTTGGAAGCCTTTATCCAAGCGGATAATATCTGGACGGTCCTTGGTTCCCTCACATGACACAATCGTCTTTTACTCACCTCGGCCTATTCATTAACTATGACTATATGACTTAAGACTTCCACTTTATCCGGCCGCTCGACCGATTTGTGTGGCCCTATCGTCTTACCTGGATCATCTCCTGCAGGTTCAAGCAACTCCAACATGAAGAATTCCATATATCGAAAAATCGCAAAAATCCTTCTCCAAATCACGGTTCCGGTCATGCTCCATATCTTCCAATTATTACTTGGTCAGCCTCATTACAACGCCCAAGACTGGCCGCTAGAGGAAGGAGGAATACAAGGAAAGAGGTTAAACTATCCCTGAGTATTAAACCTTTATAATAAAGTGCACAAATCTCCAAGAAGTTAAGTAATAATGCAAATACTGGAGAACATTTTCTTTTTTAACCACGATAGCAATTTTGAACCACTGTAGTGAACTATTATCAGGACCACCTTTTGCTTAAATTCCATAGATTCAAACAAGAGATTACTGGAGCCAAATGGAATAGAATGAGTACTTGTCTGTGAATGCTTTCAAGTTAATAGGGGTAGGTATGCACAAGAAGGTTTCTTGACTTATCCTATGAACAAGGAATTGGACCAAAGAGCCCAAATACATAACAATTTTGAGAAATCGAAAGATCCTCAACTATTGTTCGCCTTTCAAAGTGACAAGACAAAGTTCGTGAAGCAACACTCTCTGAATATAGAAAAGAAAAGAAATAAATAAATAATAAATGATCTGGCAAGTTTGGAGGGCTTAAGAAGAGATATAGCCTCGCTCTATAGATACAACAAACCAAATACCCTTGATTCGAGATAAAATAGCCAACTCCAGATTAAGTTGCGCAGGCAGCAGACCAGAGATTCTTTATATAATAGAGAATATAGTGTGAATTAAGGTGTTTTTCTTTCATCCAGACAATCTCGTCATTCATTATTAGACCCCATTTTATACAGTGCATACCATCAAAGTCGAGGCCAACTTCGGTATTGAAATGTTGCATGGGTGTAACATGGAAGAGATGTAACGCTTTAACCAATTCGCTGTTTACGCCTTACCCAAACCTCCTTGTCGATGTTCTCAGAAGTCTGTTGAGATGATCCTTGGTGGTCACGCAGCTCCACCTCCCACACTTTTAATCTATAATTACCTCGATCCGCGCGGCCAGAGAACAGGTCGAACGACCAGCCATGTTTGGGACAAGTGATACCAGCGCTAAGAATGATGCCAAAGTCTTCGATATCAAATAGGCTCCCTTGCGAAAGAGGAAATGACGAGTGGGGGCATTGCTATGGACAGTCAACGAGGCTCAGATTTGCTGTTTAGATTCACTCACATGATCAACAGCAACCATGGATCCCTTGTATTTAAAGACAAGAACCTGATCCTTCAAATCTCCAGGGACATCGATGTCTGCCTCGGTCGGCTGTTTTGGATTTAAACCATCGTTTGTCATGGGGATGGCGAATGCTTTGCATCTCGGTGCAATTCGAGAGCAGTCTTCGTCCTGACCGAGATCAGGATATGTGGAGTAAAGTCCAACTGAGTGCCAGGCAGTCTGAGTCTGCCGCTGGCGCTGAAAAGGATTCATTTTGTGCCGGGTGGGTTGGACAATCGGAGGGGTCTGGAATTTTACCCAAAAGTTGGCCTCCTCGTCGCCCCACCGGCTATTTTAGCCGGTCAACAAAGGGTTTTGATTATTGATAAGCGCAAATAAGACAGAATTCGTTTTTGTGCACGATCTATGAAGAGTATCTGAACATGGAGACGACAAGATATGATGCCTATCTTTCGGAAACCTGAGATTAATGTCAGTTTCACGCTCAGGCTGGTGTCCGCTTACTAATCTAGGAGTGCGGCGCTCCGAAACAACCGGTCTTTTAGCCTCAGGCATAAACAAAACAGTAATTTACGAGATTCTGCCTTAGGCCAAAAGAAATGTATCCAAAATATGAGTATTCCCCAACATACACATCTCGCACATGGAACAATTGCAGGTAAGAGTCAAATATGCGATAAAAGCCAGAGAGCAAGATATAATTTCCTAGCTGAAATTCACCCATCCTAGCCATGAATCTGGCCTATGTTCCACTGTCCCACCTAGCCAGTCTAGTAACGCTCCACGGTCATTTTCGTTGACATCCTGGAACAAATCTTCAAAAAGAGAGCCTTTATTTAGTGCATCCAATACCTGGACTGTGGAAGGTGGGCTATTGACGGAGAGAACCTGATCAAGGACGCGACCAATGCTTCTCTGACCCTGCTGTGAGACGTGATAGTTGCCCTCATTAGGCTGTATAAGATTTTCCAGGTGAGATGCAAAGACGCTCAGAGATTGGATCACCTCTGATCGAGGAAACTCGGTAGGTTTGTCTGGTGCAGGTGACTGGCTTTGACGCAGAAGCTCTGCACACAAAATTCCAGCCGCAGGTAATCCGAAATAACACATCTGATGCGATGCACTGTTAGCATCCTTTTCCATCGGGTTTCATTTAAGAGGATATGAAAACCGGTAAGAAGTACTTACATTCCAACCCAAATCAAACAAATGGCTCCTCAATCGCGTCGATTTTCCGATCATGAAAAGCAACGCGCTCAGAATTTCTCTTGACGTTGTGACGATGGTATTGAACCCCGAAGCGGTTCTTTCCTGCAAAATTCGATGTAGCAGAAGGTCATCATATAGAAAATCTAGGTGCAATGAAAATAAAAGCCTTTCCTCTACAAGCAAGACAGAAGAGTAATCGTGATCCGGCCTCCAACGAAGCGAGTTCGGTAATGCTAGTCGCATCCGCAAATTCTCTTCAGAGAGCTCTCTAGCCAAGGTTTTAGAATTTGCACTCCATCGGGTATTTTGAAAATTGAAGTAGGTTGAAGTAAGCAAGCAAAAGATAAAAGAAAAAGAAAGAAGAAAAATAAAATGTGATTTGTTAGAATTCTGAAAAAAATTGGAACGTACCTGACTTTTGCTTGCAAGTCTTCACTTTGGGATCCCAGTGAAAGCTCGAGGACCTTTTCACGCTGAATACTCCGAAGAAGGATTATTCTAGCCCAGGACCCCTTTGTCAAAGTATCCTTCGAATTCCACCCCTGGTTTTTCTGCAGGCGGGCAATTACATCGTCTGTAGGTGTAGGTTCCACCAGCAATTCTTCGAAGCTCACATCAAGTGGGTAGGAGATATTACAATACCGCCAACTGATGAGAGGGGGACGGCCCAAAAATGTAGCTAACTCCTTGTCCATTGTGAATGCAGCCACCATTGTACGCTTTCGTAGTTCGTTTAAGAAGAAGGGGGTTGTCTGACTTGAATCTTGATGAAGACCAAGTGCAAAAATGGCCGTTGCAAGATCTCCTAATTTTTTCCATGGCCGGTAGTCTGTTGCTCTTATTAGACATCCTCGCAACTCGAGATTGGATTTTCTCACCACTCTCGCCATAAACGATTGCCAAAAGTGCCGTCTGGTGCACCAGCAGCCAGCTAACAAGGTCGTTCACGATACCAACACTATCGCAAAACTGTAGACATATATCACAGACAGTACTTGCGGTTGTCGCAAGAACTTTCGTGTCTACAGAGTCATGTTTTCGGAGGATAAGGTCATCCTCAGATATCCACTCGGTCGCGAGTCCAGTCACACAGAATACCATACCAACTGTCTCCCATCTCCCGGAAGCACTTGACATGAATTCTGATATGGACATCCCTTTATAGACATGAAAGGGACGTGCAGGAGCTTGGAACAGCTGTTTTGACATGACCAAGGCACGTTCATTTTCACTCTCAATCTCCCTAATTCATTCCACATATCCTCAACAACCTTGAAGATCATGTTTGTGAAAACCTCGCCAAGAAACCATCCTTCCCCAATCTTGTAGCGAAGGGTCGACACATATTTGTAGAGAGGCAAATTCCGCAGAAGGGTAAGAGCCTGTGCACCTAGTTGTACTCTTTCCGAGTCAAGAACAAAGGACCTGGTGAAAGTAGTCACGACTTCATTCATGATGGGAACTTCAGCATCTGTATCCGTAAGAGTATTTGAATAGCTTGTGTGTCCGAGGAAACCAGGCGTAGATACGGATAATTTTTTTTGTGTCCATGATGACTGATCAATGGTCAATCCGGCGCTTCTTATTGTACTTATCTTGTCCATTTTCTGCCGTTTGTGTTGAGGTTGCCGCGGGGTACTTCGTGTTAAAGGGGCCGGATGGTAGACGCACTGGTCCCGCAAACCTCGATGAGCACAGCGTCCACATATAGGTGCTTCGTGACCGCATCTTAGTTTAGATTTGCGGCATGGTTCACAGGACGATAATTGACCATTTCTTCGAGTAGTTATCATTTTCCTATAGTTGCAATGATGAGTATAACACGGAGTAACAGTGAGCTGAGTATAATAATGGAGAATAATCGGAGTTCGGAGCAGGCCGCGGAGTTCGGAGTATAATCGCCTGACTAATTAGCAATTGCAGCCAACCTCGGACCGGGCGTATTTGGCAGAATTGAACTTCATTCAAATTGGAGACGTTAGATGATGGGGTTGTACCGCACATTGAAAGTACGAGCTCACTCTTTTTATGTTAAAAAAGAAAGATGCGAAGTGATGCCAGCGAACATCACGAGATCTTTGGTGAATTATAGATCAAACAACTTAGGCAATATTTACTTGGCAGAAAATGTCAATCAAGACTTCAAGATATCATCAAAAGTCTTGGTTGTGGCTCATATTTTATAGTGTTTTACTTCTGTGATCAGAAGAGCAATATGCGTGTCGTAAGCCATCATCCCTGATAGCGTGTTTTTCATCGGTAGTCTCCTAAAGGAGGCATGATCTGCCTACGCCCTCCTGTCTTTGCGAATTTGACGTTAATGATAATGCCAGAGTAACCAGCTCCAGAATAGAACTTTGATTGACGCCATGTCAAGGAAAGTCAATTATTTACGGCACATACTAGTCTTCGGTAAGCAAGCTATTCCAAGTTCCACTATGGTGCCCCGGTCGGGACTCGGGACTTGCTAGGCTCTTGAATATGTCTACCCTGTACTGTCGCCAAGGAATTGACCAATGAAAAAGACACCGTTCATTCTCGTAATGCCTGAACATAATCCGAACTTTCTACTTTAAATTCAATAAAATCGGAAAAAGCAACGTCTATGAAACAGTAGCCTGAGTGACGCCTTCGTTCACTATCTCAAGATGCTCAATGTCCGATGTCTTGCCAATTTCGTGGGATTTAATCTCCCGATTATCCTTATCATTGGGGTAGAAGTCAACCTTGCCATCTTTCTGGATGACATGCATCCTGTCCAGACAGAGACGGGCCCGGACATACGGATCGAGCTTCCAGTGGTTAACGCGCAGACGCTCCGCAAGGTAAGCCCGCTGACTCTCGGACGATTGAATTCGCGTCTTTTTCTTTGATTTGGCAGCTTCAACCCATTTTGATGTGGCAGTCAGAAACTCCTCCCCAATTTGCTCTCGCTCACGACATAGAGCATCCCGAGTCGTGGTATCCTCCATCAGGGCATTCTCATTCTCCTTGGGCTCAACATATTCATATTTCCATTTTTCATTGCCTCCTAGATCATCAACAAGCTGATCACGAGAAATGAACTTCGCGAGATCAGCTGCTGAGTTGGTGAAATTAACTTTAGCGGCAATATCCGGATCCATCCAGCCCCGAATGAGTCTCCAGATTCCTAAAGGTTAAAAGAGACCACATTCAGTTACAACTTCTCTTCGAAAACCAAGCCATTGATCAGGTTTCATTATCATTTACGCACCTGAAAAGACCCATGGTGCATTATGAATCAGCATAATTCCCAGAGACTCCGGATAGTTTGCCTCGAAGCATTTGAGAATGAACTTCACGGGAGGATACTCCTATATGAAAAGTTACCTTAGTGACTGAATGGCGGTTTGAAATATAAACAATAATGAAATAGTGGATTGTAACATACCATATTTGAGAGAGAAAACCCAGTCATGTCAAAAACAACTGCCTATAAGACGGTAAGCCCAAATTTCTTCTCGATAGTGGAGGAAGAAAACATACAGCGGTTTCAACAGGAGGAGTGAGTGTGAGCCTGACTGACTCAATTACATGGACAATATACCTCTCCAAAGTTTCCTCACTTTGAGCACCAGGTTTATGGAGCTGGACTCGAATAACAACAATAGGTCGACCCAATTTGTCGGTTCCATGAACATAACTTTTGCCCATACGCATTTGGGCCAAAAAGTCTTTGCCTGCCTTTTGCTCCGCAACATCCGCTGTATTTTGAGATTGCTTTAACGCATGAAGCTCGCCTTTTGCCAGCAGGTCATCGTCCACATGCATTTCCTTAACTCGCCAAACGATGGAGTCCATCATCATTGCAAATGCCTTTGGAACATCCCACTTTCGGGCCCGAAGAAATCGCAGGAGCATAGCATCGGGGTGATCATGTTTGAGGGTATCAAGAATTCCCTTTTGTAATTCGACAGGTGTGATGTCGGACAAGGCTTTCTGAACCATCTTAGTCTCATGGGCGCCAATACCAAGCCCTCGAAGATACGTGATGATCTTTTGCTGGTACAGCGAACTGGAAACGCCCGTGGTGCCCTTGTCGGAAATATTGCTCTGTGTCCGACCTAGTAGAGAGAGCCGCCGCTGCGGTTGTGATGGACCGGGATGCTCCTCGGCAAGATGACTGGAGAGTCCTTCCTGAGAGGACGTTTCGACTGCCTTCAGTAAGACTGTCCATAGTGTTTGTAGCTTTGCCTCCTGATCCTGATTCAAATTTCCCAAGAATCCTGACTTTGGTCCATCCGAAGCCATTTTCTGTGGTATGGCGAGAAGGCTTCTGGCTATTGAGTATTGTTGCTTTGGATGTAGATAATTCAGTGTGTTCAAACGGATCACCAGGCAAGGAAAGATTTACGAAAGTCTCCTTGGCCAAAAACTGCTTGTGATTATTTGAGTCGCAAAACGATCGAGAAGGTCAAGCAGGACGGGCTGTGGGTGCTAGCAGCCGGATAATATAGGACCTCTTGTGGTGGCTGATCCTCTCGTGATCCGATCTTCCCCAATCCACATGAAGCCCCTCAATCCCACTGCCCCGTAGTCTGCCTCGGTCCCCGCATTTCCCTAGATTTCTGGCGAACAGGGCCAATGCGCTCCTCTTATGGCCTCATAAGGGGCGATCGTAATCTGATCGAGGAAAAGGATCAACCATTCAACCCACCAGTTCCCCAGGTTTCACCAGTGAGTTGCCTTTATGGGGAACCTCGGGCCCTCGGTCGCAGATGAACCAACGGGAAAACACATGCAGTCAGCGTCACAAAATTGAGAACAACAGCGCGCTCCGAATCATTGGTCGCTTTAAACTATGAAGAAAAACTGCATATCCATAGGGCTATCTCTCCAGTTTGACTTTGGTAATTAACTAAAAGAGTTCGCTGGGGGCTTATGCTCAGAAGGTCGTCGAGCTAGGGCCATTGTCGGCCAACCCATTATCACGTGAGACTAAGTGTTTTAGGGGGGTTCGTAATCTCCAGCTGAAGATTTGGTGCTCCAAATGCGTTTTCACAAATAATATTGGCATCATGGGTATATCGACTAGGATCATGTGTGACTCATTATACCTGCCTGGTATGAAACGAAACCAAAGAAATTAATAACACAATATCTCGGATATAGGGAGGGTTTTTATTAGGGTGACTTCACATTGCCTACACTTTCTCACGTGATATCTATCCATAACGATATTACGGAGGGCTTTTTTCTTCCACAACTAAGCCTCAAATGGTCAGGTTCAGATTCTAATCGTCGATCTGAACGGGTATATTTCCGCAATTCCCAAAATTTGACCTAATCCTGACGTTTCGAGAGCCTAATAACACATTTTCGACCTAACTCTATATCGAAAATAAGAACATATTGAATACGGAGAAGACTCACATATCCATCTTGACTCTCAATCACGTATGTCATCCCTAGACCTAGCTTCCCAAGACAAAGATTTTGTAAATTAAATCGATAACGGGGGTCATAATCATCTTCGTAAGCTAGCAACTGAGATCTAGGACCAGCAAAAAAAAAAAGGGAAAAACAGGACAAATAACGTGAAATTAAAAGTGCAACTCGATGGTGGAGAGCCGAGTACGGAAAGCGTAACGTCAAATATCGCCCTCGGATGCTAAATAGGACATAATCTATTGAAATCAAGCTCTAGTGAAGTTAGTGAGGTACGCTTACAAAATTGCCTCCGACTTCTTAAGAGCAAGGTTGTTACTATACTAATTATAAAGAAGCATACGGATATTCCGGCTCAAACTGATACACCGTATATTTGCATGGATTATGTAAAGGGAAAACGTTAACGTAATTCACTAGCGAGCTGGCCACACTAGCGAGCTGGCCACCCTACCACCTACTACTTTTTGAAAACACTATTTTTCCACCAAAACGCTATATATTCGATTCAACTATCTAGTATTACATTGATTAATCTTATGCCCTATATTCCCACATCCAGAACACCGAAACACACGCCTAGTAGTAGGCTTAGCGCCTATAGTAGGCTGCTGAGCAAGCTCTGTATCATCGTTTTGAATAGCTTCAACGCTTGCTAGCAACGTTGATTCAAGAGATATAGATTCGCCGACCGTAGGATCTTGCTGCCTAGATATCTGGCGATTAGACCGTGTGCGTTTTTGACGCTTCTTCTCGTTGAATTAGCGTAAATCTTTAACTTCCTGTGCTAGAAGCGCTCCGCTATGCATCGCTAATTGGCACCCTTTTATCAATTGATCTAGCGCTCTCTCTGTAGGGCTTCCTAGCGACCGCGAGCGCTTGCCTAGTAGAGCTTTGATAGATGAAGCTTGCTTGCTAAGCTGCTTAATCGTATATAGCGTAGTAGGCACGAAAGCGCTACTCCTACTACTAGGCCTGCTTGCTGGTAGTGTAGGTGTTCGAAGCGATATATTAAGCTTCGATAGGACTCGGTCGGCATCTAGCGGAACTAGGCTAGCGCTGGCGAAGCTTGATTGTATAGTGCTAGGTAGGAAGGTTTCCTAGCGTGCTAGGGCGTAGGCTTCTAGGAAGTCGAGCTTGTCGATATGGTTATATTGTCATATGATATTGCAACATGAAGCTATTCCCAACTTCACGCCTCAGGTGTCAACTCGACACCTTATCGGTCAGGCTTCGGCATGACAGCCCCACGTCTCCCCAACAAGGATGCATGACCTACAAGACCCTGAGGGTTCGGTGCCCTTCCATTAGGGATTCGTGGACCCCTCTTCTCTGTAGCCTTTGCTTATCTCTGACACATGGGGGCCACGTCAGACCGCATGTTATAATGTGATCCATCGTCTTTGCTTGGTCATGTGGGAAAAGTGTTGAAGCTTGTACATAAATTGAGGATTATGGAGAGATCCATGATAGCAAGAAACAGTGTTTTGCTTTCCTTACTTGACGTTTATCTTCCTACCTAGTCGACAGGCTTTCTACCCTGTACAAGTAGTTATTCTCTAACATATATCCTAGGCGAGTTTGAGCCTTAATTAAGCGACCGTATAAGCGTTTTAGGATAGCAAAACATCCTATATCTAGCGGCTGCAGAAGATATAACGAATACGGTAGCATACAAAGTGGTATAATATTATTTTGCTAGCAGATTAGGTCGAATTATAGTGTTAGATAGCTTCTATAACTATCTAGTATCAATAAGCGATATTTACCTTACGTACGACTAGTAGTTGCTAGTATAAATAGCTTCTCTAGCTAACGTAGGCCTATATTATCGGTAGTCTAACCGTTCGGTGATACTTCGATTCGCTAGTCTTTCAGTAGGTTATCAAACCAGCTAGCAATCCAAACCTTCCCTTTGAATACTATACACGGCGGAAGCGAGTAGCCGGTTGCCGATATAGATTCAATTATTGTTACCTACTCCCGATTTCCAGGTTGTAGTAGAGGCTTCCGACCGTAGAATTCCTTTCGTGTAACAATTTTAGCTGTAGATATAAGGCCTATTGCAAAGCCAGTTTCATTAAAGTTATAGATATCGTTTGATTAGATCCCGTTTTCATTAATCGTACGCTCTACTAGTCTAAACTACGCGCGTAGACTAGTAGGATCTTCGTTTTGTGCACGTTGATAGTCGTAGCGTTTAGAGAATCGTGTACGAAGCTCTGATTATCGTTGAATATAGCGTGTTACCCAATTAAAACCGATCGAAGAAGACTAGTTATCACTACGCGTTGCTAGTAGAAGATTTGCTATATCTTTAATATGCGAAGGCCTAGGGGAAGCACCACGCGTATCAAGCGATAGTATCTACTAGCAAAGCGAATCCTCTTCTTCTTGTGTCAATTTATAGCTATTTGCGCGTGTCTCCTGGCGATTTGACACGCCTAATATACGCGTCTGTAAGGTAGAACGGGGCACATTGTAAACTGTTGCTGCTTTGCGTATAGATAGGGTTGTATTATTTTGAATAGCTTTGATAGCGAGTAGTATCCTACCCTCCCTATCTGGCGATTTTGAGCGTTTTTCAGAACGTTTTGGTGGCATAGTGCATAGTGGAAGATAGTAGGTGGAAGATAGAAGACGCGTTTGGATGGGGTGGCCAGCTCGCTAGTGTGGCCAGCTCGCTAGTGAATTACGTTAACTACTTATATCCCTTTGATAAAGCGAAGCGCCGTCTTACGGATAAAGATCTAGCGAAAATACACCTCTAGCTAATAGACTTTTCATAGGAGCTAGCAAAATTCCTATTTGACAAGATCGGGAAGCTTTATCCTGCTATAGCACATATTACTAAAGCACAAAGTATACGGTCGCAAATGATATCTTTTATCGATCGTAAGGACCGTAGTTACGATTTATTGAAGTAGTTAGCGGCATTCTACAAGGTACGTGCAAAGGTAGTTTATAAATCAGAGGGAAACAAGGGTAGCTCTAGAGGCAAGGAGTCTGTATACCTATATTTATTGTGAGGCTGCAAAACATAGTAGTAATACCTTGGGCCCTTTTATCTTTAATATGCCTATATAAATTAGCAAGATATACTCTTCTATGATTTTAATATTATCAGCGTGATCGATTGAGAATAGGCACAGACGGTTCTAGTGGGATCTTTCAATATATTGCTATAGGGCTTCGCTAATGTTATAGTAATAAGCAAGGCGAAAAAAAGAAATAAGACTATTGCCCGACATAAAAAGATTTCCCCACGACTATTGATTTAAATGAACCGAACACTAAACGAGAAACTAAAGATAAATAGGATGCTTTTGAGTGTCCCAAAGCAATAGTACCAGTCCAAAAAGAGCAGGGCTAGTAAGACTATTACATAGATCATTCTCGTTAACAGATAGTTTAGAGACGGGTTCTGCAATGAAATTTGTCCTAGTTACTCAATTTGAGAAGCTATTACTTAATCAAGAGATACCATTGAGATGCATAGACCTTGCCCTATACTGCCGGCCTTAGACGTGATATTCTTAAAGAACCTACTATTAGTGCCTTACACCGCCCCCCCCAACCCTTCCGGGTTGTGGGTGCGCCACGCACAGACTGCCAACCACACACAGACTGCCAATTTTTCGTATTTCCCCTATCTACTCTTGCATCCTACTAGTATCTATAAAGAAACCTAGCCCGTTCTGACGTGCTTCCTCTGCTCTATCTAATAATGCCTAGGATTCCTGTGTAGGATCTGGTGGTAGTGATATTCTATACGCTTTCTTCTACTGCTTCCTTACCCGCTTCCGCTCTGCCTCTGTTTCCTTCTTATTTCTTTTAGTAATAGAACGATTTGTATCTCTAAT